CACTCCGCTAGCGTGCGAATTCCAGAGGACCAAGGTGCATGGCGCGCAGCGCCAATGCAGTCTTGTGTATATATATATGTATGTATGTGCTCAGATGTGCACCTATATATATATATAACAAGAAACAAAGAGAGAGAGAGAGAGAGAGAGAGAAAGAGAAAGAGAGAGAGAACAACAAGAAAATAAAAAAGAGAGAGCGAGAGAGAGAGAGAGAGAAAGAGCAGAGCGGAGCAGAGCAGAGCACAGCAAAGCTTAGCAAAGGCAGAAGCACAGAGAGGGAGTTCGCACATCCTTGGGGGCCGAGAAAGCCCAGATCTTACAGCAATCAAGTAAAAAGAGGAGGAACAAGAGGAGACGGAGGAGAAAGGACAATCGCGTTGCGTGGGCAACCGCGATTGCTCTTCCAACCATTTTACAGACACACCACGGATACAACGGAGGCTGGTTCACGCACGCGCGAGCGTTTCGCAGTTCACTCCCCTTGCTCAGTTCGCCCTCTTCCATCTCGCCCCCGCGTACGCGACCGTCCGCAGATGGTACAGGGTGGTGTCGGGATGCATCTTCGGGAGCCTCGCCTGCCATACAGAGTGGTTGCGGAGTGTGCCTGCGAGAGCTTCGGCCACTTGCGTGGATTGACCTGTTGTTTCGCGTGTCTTCCTCTGGTCCCTGCCTCCCGTCTGCTGTCCGTCCTCCTACAAGAGCTCCCGTTCACTTCTAATCGTGCAGCAAGAACCGGAAAAACAGTTGTCTGAAAACGCAGGCAACCAACAGCAAGCGATAGACCTATCAGCATGACACTACAAGCCCCCAAAACAGCCTCCCGCCCGCCTCCCCCGGAGAGGGGGCTGTCAAACAGTGTGTCCACACAGCGTGCTTACATGGCCCAGGCCTCCGACGTCATGTTTTGTTCCAAACATGGGCCCTGTACTCCAGATTTCGTAATAAAAGGGAAGGGGTCTCAAACCTCCCAGACGAGAAGTTTTAGACCCCCCCCGTGGGAGAACCCTCCAAAACATCGTCCCCAGACCCCCCCAGGCCCTCCAAGATAGCCTGGAAGAGACCCCCCTCCCTTTATTACGAAATCTGGAGTACCATACTTGGGCCCTGTGGCCCCCGACTCCAGGACCATCTCGTCGTCGCGGGCCACCTTTGGCAGCCCCAGGCCGCGGAAGTCACCGCACGCAGCCCGTCGAGGTCTGAGCACGACCCCTTCGCTGACAGCACCAACACCGAAGACGACGACGACGACGACGACGACGACGACGACGACGACGACGACGACGACGACGACGACGACGACGACGACGACGACGGCGGCGGCGGCGGCGGCGGCGGCGGCGGCGGCGGCGGCGGCGGCGGCGGCGGCGGCGGCGGCGGCGGCGGTGACGCCAGCGGCCGCCGCGGCGACGACGAAGGAGACAAACGGCGGCGCCCATCCGCTCGGCTGCGTGCCACCGGCGCGGCCCCGCGCCGCTGGCGCCGCAGCGCGCGGAGCATCTCCGCCGCTCGGCGCCGCCATGCCGCCGCGGCCGCGCGCGCCGTCAGCCGGCGACGAGGTCCTGTCGCCCCACGTCGCCACAACTCAGAGGATGAACAATTAGAAGGAAGATCCTGGAGGCCTCGCGCGGCTTCTTGAGGCCCAGCTTACATTTGATCCACATCGGATTTCGGACATACGTCGGAACACCGCCGCGCGAACGTCGCCCCGTATCTGCGCGCCGCGCGAGGTCTCCCTCATTGGAACAGATGCAGGTACCGCTGCACAATCCTCGTCGCGTCGCCTCGAAATCCTGTTCAGAACGCACCCTGGGAGTCCAGGGAGCTGCGGAACCAGTGCATTCTGCTTACTCTGGCAGTGCGTTTACGGTGTGAGCGGGCGGCTTGCATTCGCGGGTGAGGTACAGACCAGGAAACTGACACAGACATGCGACGTCAGGATTTTTTCAATCCGGGGTCCCTGAAAGTCCCGACCCTTTCTCCGGGACCGGCTTTTTATCCTGAATTATTGTTTGACGGTCCCGAGGCCCGGCGAGGGCCCCCGAAGCCGAAAATAAGCAAAAACCTCCCGTCCTGAATTTTTGACGATGCAATCATGTCTGGGGAGACGTCTCCTCCTCGTCCTCCTCCTCGTCCTCCTCTTCCTCCTCCTCCTCCATCCCTTTCTTATGCATAGATTATCCCTGTCGCACCCCGAGGCCAGTTTTTAGGGCGGGCTGGGCGTCTCGCTTGAGACTTTCTCATCATTTCTGACCTGAAGCGTAAACAGTGGCAACAGTTTCACATTCACCGATGAACGGCGGGTGGTTTTCAACATGTGGCTCTCGCCTTAGCACCGTGCACATTCGTTTTAAAACGTTGCAAAAAGTTTCACGGATTCAAGGCCACTGGTTTTCAACATGCGTCTCTCGCCTAGGCGCCGCGCACATTCGGTTTTGAAAAATTGCAAGGGTTTCACGGATTGAGGGCGGTTCCTTTTCACAACGTGGCTCTCGCCTTAGCGCCGTGCACATTCGTTTTCAACATGTGCAAAAGTTTCACGGATTGAGGGCGGGTGGTTTTCAATACGTATGTGGCTCTCCCCTCAGCGCCGCATACATTCGTTACTTAGATTCGCAAGAGCTTCTCACGATTGAGGGCGGCTCTTTACCAAAATGTGGCTGTCGCCTTAGCGCCGCGCACATTCGCTTATTTAATTTAGAAATGTGTCACGGATTCCCATTACCATGAAGAGGGAGCTAGGAGGGAGGGTTTAGTCCAACATCGTTGATGGCTCTTGGGTTTACACTGGTCCTCCTCCTCCTCCTCCTCCTCCTCCTCCTCCTCCTCCTCCTCCTCCTCCTCCCCCGTGGCCGGGTTCCCAACTGGGAGCATCCGGAGACCGCGCGCTGGATATACACGCGTGGCACGCCCGCGCTACACGGCCACGTAGCGGGCCGAGCGCCGGAGCGACGACTTGCCCAACGTGTTGTCTAGCTCTCGCCCAGGCTGGCCGCGCCATCGGTAGAAGCAGTCGCCTGGCGAAGGACCGAACCATACAGCAGAGGCCAGCCCACAAGAAACCTTCAACAAGCAACCCAGCCCTGAGACCTCAGGAAGTCCATCGATGTTTTGTGTGGGGGAACGTCACGCCTTCCATCGCAAATCCATCGGAACCCAGGAAACCCAGGGCATACTGGAGGCAAGCAGGGGGTTTCTTGGCATGGGCCCCCACTGTGTACAGCTGCGAGCTCCGCCAGGTGGAAACTAGGGGAAGGGGCTAGCAAAAGGGCTAAGGCGTGCGTGAGATGGACGGAGAGACGTTGCTGATGGGTCGCAAGGGTCAGCCGCAACGGGCTACATGTGGATGTAACCCGTCACGGCTGATCTGAGCATCTCTCGGCCTGGCCCTTGGGAGCAGCTGGGCGGGGTCTGGGGGACAGCAGGCGGTGGCGCCTTTGGTGGAGCTCCTATATGGGTCAGGAAAAGTGCGAGGGGTGTGCCGAAATGGGCGCGCCAACGCATGCGATTCCTGCCGATGGGGTATTCGGTGGAGCTCCGTAGGGAGCCGCGTAACGTGTGAGGGGTGTCCCGACTTAGGCGTGGTCACGCATGCGATCCCTGCCACTGGGGCCTTCGGCGGAGCTCCCGATGGGGCCACGAAACGTGCGAGTGGTGTGCCGAAGTTGGCACGGCCACGCATGCGATTCCTGCTTGTGGAGCCTTAGATGGATCTCCCTATGGGGCCACGTGAGTGGAGTGTGCCGAAATGGGCGCGGTCACACATGCGATTCCTGCCATCGGATGGGGCCTTCGGTGAAGCACCCCATGGGGTCACGGAAGGTGTAATGGATGTGCCGAAATGGTCTGGAGAAGGCAAACGAGCGCAGCCACTGCGGCCTCGGGTGGAGCTCCATGTGGGGCCACGAAGCGTGTGAGGGTTGCGCCAAAGCGCGGCAAGGGGGAGGGCTTGCGGCCAAAACTGCTGGGGCCGTAGGTGGAGCTCCCCATGGAGTCACGAGGCGTGTAACGGGTGCGCCAAACTAGGGTGGCGGCGGCATGCGGGTGCAACCACTGTGACCTTGTGTGTAACCCCCTAAGGGGGCAACGAAACGTGGGAGGGGTGTGGCGGGGGAGAAGGAGGGAACGCAGGAGGAGGAGGAGGCCGCGTGGCGCAGAGAGCCCGTCCAGGTGCTGACGAGGAGGTTGCGCGGGGGCACGGCGGCCGAACTGCATGAATTTGACCTTGGCCGCAGCGAGGGCAAATTGGGTGCGAGCGGACCCCAAGGATGTACGATCCGCTGCCCCGTCTCCGGAAAAGACGCACGAGGAGGACCTCTACATTCCCCACCAAGCGTCCCAAGTTCGCCTTCTCCCCCTTTACACCCCTCCTGGACTCCTCGGTCCAGAAGCGTCCGCTCCCCCCGCCCACCCACTCCCGAGCGACGGCAAAGCAAACCAAGATCCAGCGACGCACCAAACGACAGAGTTGGTGTGCGCTGGTTTGTCCGTTGAGCGGTCATCGGTACTTGCTGGAGGAAGGAGGATGAGCGGAGAGCGTGGCAGGGGAGGATGAGGACGAGAAAACGCATGGGAGAAGGGGCGGATGATGAGACGAGGGGGGGGGGAATGGAAGGGACGAAAGGGGCAAAGGGGGGAGGTGTCAGGGAACGGACGGAAGGGGCGAGGAGGAGGATTTAGGGGGAGGGGCGAAGAGGAGTCGCGGGAGGGGAAGGGAGGCGAAGGGGAAGGAGAGAGAGAGAGAGAGAAACAAACAAAAAGACGGAGAGAAGAAGCAGGGAGAGAGAGACAGAGAGAAAGAGAGAGAGAGAGAGAAGTCAGACAGCCAGACAGACAGACAGACAGACAGAAAGACAGACGGACAGACAGACAGACAAACAGGCAGGCAGGCAGGAGACAGAGACCGAGAGAGAGGCAGGGAGAAAGATAGAGGGACAGAAAAGCAGACAGATAGACAGGCAGGCAGACAGACAGAGAAAGAGACAGAGGCAGAGGGACAGGCAGCCGGCGAGACACGAGGATGGTCGCCGCTCCGCCCTTCCGTCCGTTCAGGACAAGCGGAGGCCGCGCTCAGATCTGGGCATTTGCCTCCCGCGCTGGCGCTGGGCCGGGGCTGGGCCACCAGGGCTTCATGGAGTGACAGCGAATTCGACCGCGGAGCGCGAGGAGGAGGAGCCAGGAGAAGAGGAGGACGACAAGAGGCAGGAGAACCGACCTCGCTTTTGACCACACTCGCTTCCAGGCAGGAGCACGGGACACCTGTCGATCTCACTATCGATCTGGCTGTCGATCTCACTCCACGGGACACCACGGGACACCACGGGACACCGCGGGACACCTCTCGGTCCCACGATCGGTCTCACTATCGATATCACTATCGATCTCACTCAACGGGACACCACGGGACACCACGGGACACCACGGGACACCTGTCAATCTCACTATCGGTCTCACTATCAATCTCACTCAATGGGACACCACGGGCCACCACGGGACACCACGGGACACCGCGGGACACCTCTCGATCTTACGATCGGTCTCACGATCGGTCTCACTATCGATATCACTACCGATCTCTTTCGACGGGACACCACGTGACACCACTGGACACCACGGGACACCTGTCGAACTCAATATCAATCTCACTATCGATCTCACTTTTTGGGACACCACGGGACACCACGGGAAACCTCTGGGCACCACATCGATCTCAGTATCGATCTCACTATCGATCTCACTATCGATCATTCAGTGGGACACAACGGGACACCACGGGACACCTGTCGATCACACTATCGATCCGACTATCGATCTCATTCAACGGGACACCACGGGACACCTCGGGGCACCACATTGATCTCAGTATCGATCTCAGTATCGATCTCGCTCAACGGGGCACTACGGGACACCACGGGACACCACGGGACACCGCGGGACACCGCGAGCCACCGCCAGACGGACGGACGGACGGGGGAGAATCTTTTGTCTTGACTTCGCCCTAGCAACGGCGGACACCACGGGACACCACGGGACACCACTAGGGCCACCGCCGGACGGACGGACGGACGGGGGAGAATCATTTGTCTTAACTTCGCCCTAGCAACGTCGGACACCACGGGACACCACGGGACACCACGGGACACCGCGGGACACCGCTAGGGCCACCGCCGGACGGACGGACGGACGGGGGAGAATCATTTGTCTTGACTTCGCCCTAGCAACGGCGGGTTCATTCCTCTCGCCTCTCGCGCGCCCACGCAGCCTTGCCTCGCCCGCACGCGCGACGCGAACAAAACGAAACGATTTCCTGGTTGGGGGTCTCCGTTCCACTGTGATCTCACCCCCCAACCTCCGATACTCCGAGGCACGGCGGCCAAACATGACGGATCGGCCCCGCTCGGAGGAGGCCTCGCGGCTTAGAAGGCCCGTCAAGGGGCAGAGACAATGACAATGACTTGACGAATCGGACCCGAGGCGTCACTAGCTCGAGCTGAGTGCGAGCCGACCGAAGTGAGATGGAGTCGGAGGAGGAGAAGGAGGAGGAGGAGGAGGAGGAGGATCGCAGGCGATTTTTATCCCCCAACCCGCGATTATTCGACAAAAAATGAGACCGCTGAAAATGAGGAGGCAAACCCTGGGATACGCCCCAATGGGGCCAATGATTCGGCCGCGCTCTTTTCGGGGATGGACGCCCCCCCATCGTGCACTCCAGGGTTGGGGCCCACATTTCTGGTCCATTCGACAACCCCACGAAGCCTGGGACGGTTGTCGATCATATCCCCTGTTGGAAGACGACGACGACGACGACAACGACGAGGAGGATGAGGCGGAGGAGAGCGGAGCTCAAGCGGAGCTCGACCAGCCTGGGCCACAGGCGGGGCAGCGAGGAGAGGCAGCGCGCGGCCACGTGTTACCTGGCGCGGCTTTGCGCCGTGGCACCGCCGGTCCCCGAATTCCATCAGGGGGAGGGGATGAGGAGAGGGAGGGAATTTCTGTTGGTGTTGTTGTTGTTGTTGTTGCTGTTGTTGTTGTTGTTATTGTTGTTGTTGTTGTTGTTGTTGTTGTTGTCGTTGTTGTTGTTGTTATTGTTGTTGTTGTTGTTGTTGTTGTTGTTGTGGAGCCGACCTGCTGATGAGAGGGAGGGGAATCAGAGGAAGCCAGGACCGGGACAACATCGAAGCAGGACACGGTTCTGGAGAATGCGCTGGGCGCCGCAGCCGCTGCAGAGCGCCCCGGAACGCTCCGAGAGCATTCTGGATGGCTCAGGAACGGCCTATCCTGGTCCTTGCCCCGCTCGAGGGAACGACGAGGACGAGGGCGTGGGGGAGGAGGGACGAGGAGGAGGGACAGGGAAACCGAGGGACGACGAGGAAGGGGTGCTGCCTGCCATTCACGGCCACCAGGGCCGTGCGTGCGGTCGGAGCATGGCCCTGTGCCTGGGTGCCGTGGGCTTCCCCTGGCCACCAGGCGAGACAGCCCAAGGGCGACCTTGCGGGCCGAGGCCGAAGCCGATCGGAGGGCGAGCACAGCGTCGAGAGAGGACGAGGAGGACGAGGAAGACGAGGAGAGCGACAAAGAACGAGAAGGACGAGCAGGCCAAGGATGAAGAGGACAGAGAAGAGGGAGGTAGGCGAAGAGGCAAGGCAGACGTGTCTGTTCAGGCCAGCTCGCCTCTGCAACCCTGGTAGATAGAACAGCGTGGGTGCCGAGGCGAGAGAGGGAGCGGAGGCGGGTAGACTGAGGTCGGGAATGTCCCCCTACAGGCGGATTTGGGGCGAACAATACAAAAAAATATTCAAACAAAATGTGCAAACATTGTCTAACAATACAAAAGAAAAAGAAAGCCCCTTGACTACCTATACGACCACCCTCCTGGTGATAAGGAGGTTGTGGAGGGGGGCCGAGGAGCGGAGCCAACATCTGACTCAATCGATCTCACTATTGGTCTCACTCAACGGGACACCGCGGAACACCATGGGAAACCACGGGTTACCACGGGACACTTGTCGATCTCACCATCGATCTCACCACCGATCTCACTCAACTGGACACCACGGGACACCACGGGCCACCACGGGACACCTCTCGAGTTTCACAATCGATCTCACTCAACGGGACAACATAGGACACCACGGGACACCGCGGGACACCATGGGACACTGCGGGACACCACATCGATCTCACTATCGATCTCACTATCGATCTTACTCAACGGGACACCATGGGACACCACCGGACACCTGTCGATCTCACTATCGATCCCACTATCGATCTCACTTTTTGGGGCACCACGGGCCACCACGGGACACCTCGGGGCACCACATCGATCTCACTATCGATATCACTATCGATCTCACGTTTTGGGACACCACGGGACACCTGTCGATCTCACTATCGATCTCACTATCAATCTCACTTTTTGGGACACCACGGGACAACACGGGACACCTAGGGGCACCACATCGATCTCGGCATCGATCTCAATATCGATCTCACTATCGATCTCACTCACGATATCACTATCGATCTCACTCACTATCGATCTCACTCAACGGGACACCACGGGACACCACGGGACACCACGGGACACCACGGGACACCGCTGGCCACCGCTGGCCACCGCTGGACGGACGGGAGGGGGAGAATCATTTGTCTTGACTTCGCCCTAGCAACGGCGGGTGCATTCCTCTCGCGCGCCCACGCAGCTTCGCCTCGTCCGACGACACGAACGAAACGAAACTATTTCCCGGTTGGGGGTCTTCGTTCCACTGCGATCTCACCCCCCAACCTCCGATTTCTACTATTTGAGAACATTCCTCCTGTAGAGGGACGTGCCCGACTTGTGTTGACTGCGATGTGCGGCTCTCCCTGCCCGCCCGACGTCTGCCCTGCTTTCATGCTGGCGCTCCCCCTCTTCTCCTCCTCCTCCCCACCCTCTCCCCCTCCTCCTCCTCCTCCTGCCCCTCCTTGTGTGACGCTGGTCCTACGATAAGCGACCTCCTCCTCCTCCTCCTCCTCCTCCTCCTCCTCCGCTTCCTCGTCCTCCTCCTCCTCCTCCTCCTCCTCCTCCAACACGTGCCCCGCTACTGCTGCTCCCTCATGATGCTTGCGTGCGGGCGCAAACGAGCATGCACGCGTGCGACAACGGAAGTTGATAGGGTGAGGGAAGCGAGGTCTCAAAAAACACAGACAGCTAAACATGCCAAAACCCTCTACTGGCGTGCTCGCCTTGAGCCCATACTCTACAAGACCAAATGGCGATACCAAACGTGGATGGCAGGCTGCGCTGTATTACGTCAATCATCTTAAACAAAAAACAAGCATCCCCCGTGCGCTGTCGTCCAGCGACCCACCAGAACGAATGACACCTATAATGAGATCGTGCCAGGGATAGAAAGGACCGAAACCATTCACGCAGATACTTACCTGCCCTGGCACACTGGATCTGGCTCACGTGTTACCAGACTCCGCCGACCCCCGTCTGCCAGGGGTGGAAGACGTGTGCGATTGGCTGTCCCCCTCCCCCTTTCCCCCTCCGCGTGGGTCCGACATGCAGTTTAAGATCACCCCCCCCAGGGGAGGCGAGCTTGTCAACACACCTCTGGAGCTCTCTGAGACTCCAAATCCACCCTGCGTTGCCGCCCAGAAGCCCAAACTGCCTTCCGAAAGGGCTCCAGCAGGGCTCCAGACCATCCAAGATGGCCCCAAGATGGCCCAAAACGTCCCAAGAGGACTCCACGAGGAACCCCAAGAGGGCCTCAAAAGACACAAACGAATAATACCCCGCGCTTTCCGGACCCCAAGACGGCGTCCGAGACGTGCTCGAATCTCAGACTGGTCCCTGTACGCTCTTGGGGCGCATTTTGCTTGTATTTCCGCCCCCTTGGGGCCCCTTCCTGGCCTCCAGAAGCCACTCCCAGGCACCTCAAGAGCACCTCTTGGGCCGAACCTCGCCTACAAGCTGGAAGCTCGAAACACACACACCAACTACCATCGGTGCTTGATGATCTCAGCCTCGCCGGGGGTCGCCTGGACGCCCCTAACAGCTAACTTTCGGGCTCGCCTGGGGTAGTTCTCAACATGCACACCTCGACCACGTCAATGGGCGCGCTCCGCGGTCAAGTTTTGACGAGCCTGGGCCCAGCTTGGGTCAAACCAAGCCCAAATCGACCCCGAACCTCTCTGGTCTCTGGTGGTACTCGGACGGGGGTCGCGGCCCCAACGCGGAGGTGCGGTCCCGCGGCCCGTCCGGAGGCTCCCCATGGGCCCCTTCTCGGGGCCTTTCTTGGACCCTGTTTTGGGCGCTTCTTGGGCCACGTTCTGGCCGCCTTTATCTGGTCTCGGGCGGTGTTCTGGATATCGCTAGACTCCTGCTGGGGATAGGGTCGAGAGCCAGCGCCCATACCACCCGATCCGCTGGTAATCATGACGGGCCGACGACTGATCGAAGAATTCAACACCGACCAGCTGCACGGCATACCTGAGTCCAATCAGCGATGGGGTGGAGGAGAAATGGAGCGCAGGAAAACATACAAGGCACAAGTGTGGGGAATACTGTCGCGCTTTTCGGGACATTGTCATCCCGTCTTGGCGCGTCTGCGTCCCTTCCGTCGAAAACTGGAATGGGCGAGCGGTGAACGTGAAGCGTCTTGAATCGAACCCGTATGCACTGCAAACGCGATCGTGTCATAGCAGGGGAGGGTGAATGGCAAGCTCTGATCACGCTCGCCACCCGCCCGATGCTTCTTGTCGACCCTCAGTCCCCAGAATGTGAAAATGCGTTTGTCAACTGCTGCTCGAATCACGTTCTCAACTTCCTCGCAGGAATTCTTCAGTCAAGCCGACGAGGGGCACCGAAGAGCCCCCGGGCCAAGCTCACAGACCCGTGCCTGCCGGAGACTTCGCACGGGGGGTTCCGCGCCGAGACGGGGTGACAGAAGACTGCTGCATCTGCCTGCCAACGGTCCGCTCCTCGCCTGGGAGTCGCCCACTTGTTCGCCTTGGGCGGAGGCGTCCGCGGGCATCGGACCGTTGGCGGAGAACCCGAAGAGGTCCAACGCAGCTATGCGGCCACCTCGGGTCGCTGCCATGCGCTCGAACACACGCGAAGCAGAATGCAAGTGTGACTCTGCAAACGTCGCCAAACGCAAGGTTGGCACATGGCGAATGCCTCAATCAAAGCACTCCGACAAGAACAACATCGCATTCACCCCACACCTCCTGCCCACGGACTGAAAGCACGTGTGCACGCGACCAGCGGTGACGCAAATACAGTAGCACAGCAGCTAACAACAACTCTAAACATACTGATCGACCAACACTGTCCCAAGACACACATGCACCCGATTGCTCGCAGGGCTTTGACAGGCAACCGCCCGGGGAACATCCAGAGCAGTGAGACTGGCAAAAGAAGCCACAGGGAACTCAGGATAACATACACTGGAGGTAAGTCCACAAGAAACCTCCCACAAGACACCCAACCCTAGGTTACCAGGACGTCCATGTATTTTCGGCGTGGGGACGTCACGCTGTCCATCGCAAAACCACCGAAGCCCGATAAACCCAGGGCAGCCTGGAGGCAAGCAGGGCGTCTCTTGGAATGGGTCTCCACTGTATACTAGCGCGCAAGAGGCATTGGCTCGAGGTGCCGCGGGGAGAGCGCACACAACGAGACAGCCGCCACCGTGCGCCCACCGTGGCCTCTGGGACGCTGAGGAGGCGTGGCAGAAAGCCAGGTGCTGCCTGACAAGTGACTATCTATCAGACCACTCCAACCCAACCCGAAGACCCGAATTCTGGAGTGGTGGGGGGGGGAGGTACGGGTTCCACAAGTGTTTTGTCTTCACTGTTCCCCCCCGCTCACACTGGACAGTGAAGGCAAATTGAGGCCTTCGGGTTGGGTCGGGGTACTTTGGTGATTGGGTTTGGTGGATTGGTTGGTTGTGTTGGGGGGTTGGTTGAGGCCATCCCTCCCCTGCCACGCGTCGGCCCCAAGCTCGGCGGCGAGCCTGGGGGGAAAGAGAGGAGAAGGCTTTCTCGGGAGGATCGGGAGCCCCTCGGCCTCTCCTCCTCCTCCTCCTCCTCCTCCTCCTCCTCCTCCTCCTCCTCCTCCTCCTGAAACATGTTCTCAGCCCTGCCCGAAGACACGAAAGACCTCTCAGAAGGCGCGAGGGATTCAGAGAAGCCCCGCCGCCTCCTTTGAAGGCCTTCTCCTTCTTACCTCCCCCCGCCTCGCTCGCCGCCGCCAAGCCCTCCTTGCCGAGGGCGCCAGCAGGGAGCGGCCCGCGCAACTCATCGCCCTCGACTTGCCGCGCCCCCAGCTCAGCCCCGCCTCCCGTTCCGCCCACCACCTCGAGCACGCCCGCGCACACCACCCAGGAGGGGTCGGCTCCAGGGCTCGTAGGAGGGAACCGCCTCACTCTCCTCCTCCTCCTCCTCCTCCTCCTCCTCCTCCTCCTCCTCCTGCTCCTCCTGCTCCTCCTCCTCCTCCTCCTGCTCCTCCTCCTCCTCCTGCTGCTCCTCATCCTCCTCCTCTGCCGTGCTTCCTTGCATGCACCGCGACCCCCCCCCCTCCCGAGTCTTCCTGCACCCCGCTGACGCCTCCCTGGGGCTCTCGAAGCCTCTCCGAGGCAGATGGCCCAATATGACTCCAGATCAGCCCACGATCGTCCACGATACAGCCAAATGTTGACTCCACCTCCTCCTCCTCCTCCTCCTCCTCCCTCCTCCTCCTCCTCCTCCTCCTCCTCCCGTGGGTGAGGGCCTGGCACATGTTCTCATGGTGTCAACGCCACACATTCCACGAGGCACACTGTCAGGAGCTTTATCCGCCAGCTGAGTGTGGTGCAACTGGCCGTTTTCTTTGTGAACCAAGCGGCTTGGCGTCCTCGCCTTGCCGCTGGCGGCGTCAGCAGCGCCCGTAGCACTGGATTAGGGTCCCAGGCACGGGGATCGCTCATTTGGTGGAGAGGTGGAGCCATGTGGCCCATAAATCCCATGTGATCTTGTGTCCACTCCCACTGGGGTATAAGCCCAGTTGCGTGTGCTGGGTGTTTCGATATGGTTGGGGCCGTTGGAAGGCCCCCCTACGCACCAGCCGTCACGCTTAGGCTGCGAGTCGCTGGCGACGTGGTCATCCCTCTGTGCCCTGACTGGTTTGTGATTACTGTAACACACGTGTGTGGTATTATACATGCTCCCACATGCTCCTCCTCCTCCTCCGCCTCCTCCTCCTCCTTCTCCTTCTCCTCCTCCTCCGCCTCCTCCTCCATCCACCGCCCGCCCCATGTCCCGAGCCTGTGACAGGGTCATCAGCCTGTCGTTGTGGTCGTCGTCGTTGTCGTCGTCGTCGTCCTTCTGGGTCGGCGGCGCCGGACGCAGGGCCCTCAGAAGAATTGCCCCACAGGGCGGCCTGAGAGGCCCCCCCAAGACGGTTTCGGGGGGTTCCCCAGCAGGACCCGAAGATGTCAACCTTGAGTGCCATGCATGCCACTCTGGGGTTTGGAGCAAATCTCGCGCTCTCACCCAGTCGGGTTTCCGACAGCCCAAGGCGTCCACGAGGCAAGCTGGCCCCAGGACAGCCCACGAGACCCCCAAGAGACCCCAGACGGCCCCAGAGGCTCTCGAGATGGGCCCAGAAGCCTTCAAGACGAGCCCAAGGCGGCCCAAGGGGCCCCAAACCAAGAGACCCCCAAAACGACAATCTGGGACCCCAAAGCAAAGGGAGGCTGCCTAGAGAGGCCTCCACGGCACGGCGGACTCCGCAGGCGCCGGACTGTCCAAGCGACACGACGTCGGAGAGCGCGTCACACCCTACAACTTCCAGAAGCCTGGGGGCACGAAGAGTCACACAATACAGCTTACTCGGCGCTCCTCGAACCGTCACCACCCAGCGTGCCTGACTGGCACGGTGGCGGGACCAGCTAACGCCCGAATGCTCATTCTGATGTGAGCGTGAAGGCTTTGGGAAAGCAAAAAGGTACCCAGACCGCTACTACCCAGACCTCTCCTGGGGTACGTTCTGACCAGAATTTCAAGAATCCAGCCGCAGCGATGCTCCAGGACGAGTAGCGGTATCTGTATCTGCTCGTCCCCTGAAGGTTGTGGTAATATGAAAAGCCCAAATCATCGAGTTGCCCGAGTTCTATGGTGCTCTCCACGCATGCCTCTGGGAAGCCCAAGCCCGCCCAGACCGGCCCCAACGTCCAGCCAGGCCTTCCTGGCAACGCCCAGTAAGGCCAACGACCCCTCGGCAGCCCCAAAGGACCGTCCTGGGGCTGTCTCGTGGCCTCCTGGGCCATCACCACTTCTGGGGGGGGGGAACATAAGTGGCTGCTCGATGTTCGCATCATCGGCCAGGACAATCCAAAAGGCCCCCGAGACCCGCGCAGGATCTCCGAAGACCCTAAAACGGGCCCAAGGGGCACCCAGGAGACTCATGGAAGGAATAAACAAGGGAAAACTCACACTGCCACTTGGAGCTCCCAGCCTCAGAGAGAGCGCGTTTCACGGGCGCTTGCCTTGGGAACATTCGGCGGCGCGTTTCGAACCGGGGGGTGGGCCCCCCCCCAACACTCGGCGCCGTCGATCAAAACCACGGGGGCCCCCCTCCCCCCAAACCTCCCCCGTCCCGAACCCCCCCCCCTTCCGGCGCCGGCGCCGGCGCTGGCGCTGGCGGCCGCCAGCAGCGCCGACGGCGGGGACGCAGCGACGATGACCAGAGACAGCCTAAGAATGGGGGGGGGCCCTGGCGCCTGCGGGGACGCAGCGACGATCTACCACCACTACCACCACCACCACTATCACCACCACCACCGCCTCAACCCACCACCACCACCACCAACCCACCACGCAAACACCACCATCACCACCACAGCCACCACCACCACCACAACCACCACCACCACAACCCACCATCACCGCCACAAAGGCCCACCACCACTACCACCACCACCACCACCACAAATGTACCACACCACCACCACCACCGCCACAACCACCACCACTACCAGCAGCAAAACCCACCACCACCACCACCACAAACCACCACACCACCACTACCACCACCGCCGCCGCCACCACCACCACCAGCACCACCTCCACAAACCACTGCCACCACCACAACTCACCACCACCATCACAAACCACCACCACCACACCACCACCAAACCACCACCACCACCACAACCACCACAACCCACCACCACCACCAGCACCACAAACCACCACCACATCACCACCAAACCACCACCACCACAACCACCCACCACCACCACCACAACAAACAAACAAACCACCACACCACCACCATCACAACCACCACCGCCGCCACCACAACCACCACAACCCACCACCACCACAACCGTCGTCCTCGTCGACGCTCCCCGCCGCCGCCGCCCGCCGCCGCAGGCGCCGGCGCGGGCCCAGAAAAGGAAGTCGTCGTCCCCGCCGCCGCCGCCAGCCGCCGCCGACGCAGGCGCCGGCCCGAGGAGAGGGAGAGAGGAGAAGTAGGGGGGGGGTTCGCATGTGGGCCCAATCCCAACCCACTGGGCCCAATCCCAACCAACTGGGACCAATCCCAACCAGTGCGAATAGCAAACTGGGCCCAATCCCAACCATCTTGGGATAGCCCCACAATAGGGTTTTAATTGTAGAGAAGCCCAAGACGACTGCGAAGACCAAGTGACACCCCTTATGTCAACGCAGAGGATCTGGAAGCCAACATGCGTGCTCGAGTAGGAATTGGTCTCAGTTTTTGGTCTGCGCACGAGCACCACGTTAAGATGAGCAAGAGGGCACCGGAGCGTAAGCGAAAACGCACCGAATTGCACCGATTCAAAAATATGCAAGATGGATCCTCCTAGTACTCGTAAAAGTAGTAGTAGTAGTAGTAGTAGTAGTAGTAGTAGTAGTAGTAGTAGTAGTAGTAGTAGTAGTAGTAGTAGTAGTAGTAGTAGTAGTACTCGTACTAGTCGTAGTAGTCGTAGTAGTCGTAGTAGTAGTAGTCGTAGTCGTAGTCGTAGTAGTAGTAGTAGTAGTAGTAGTAGTAGTAGTAGTAGTAGTAGTAGTAGTAGT